GTGCTTCTATTAAACATACGCACTGACGTAGAATTTCTAGATTTGCATTTGCAGCTTTAGTCCACTTTGTCAAAGAAGTTCCACCAAGTTCCACCCCCAACTGCAAGTGCATGAGATTGTTGTCACTGCCCATCCTTGCCAACACTTGGCATGGTCTGTTCCAGTTTTTAGCTAGTTTTTAATTAGTATTCCCTTCTAGTAATGGAGGCAAACACTTTCATGAAAACACTTTGATGTTTGTTAGCTATTTGGATATCATTTATGCAGTCTGAGACTTGCTTCTTTCCATCTTGGATTGCCTTTCTTTATCAGGTTTACTGTTTGATACATTTTTTATGATTATCTTTCCTATTCATAAGTCTTTCCTTTGTCATGTCTGTGTAACTCCAGTATTTGAATCACCTGTGTATCTGTTTTATTTTCTGTCAGCTTTGATTCTGTCTGTATCCATGCTTGATACTTCTGAAAATTTTTGAGGCTTTGAATGGTATCATTTCCCTATAGACAGTTCTTCCTTTCCTCTGCTTGGCAGATAGAATATGGTCTAATCACCTGATTTGCTCAGGAAATGGTACCACTTGGAGGCAAGCTCTTTCAAGTTGTAGATCACATTGGCTCCTAAGACTTACTTGGCCTTCCATGGATTCCATCCTAAAGTTTGGAGTATTCACCAGGACTCCCTCTCCTTTTGCCACCAAGAACAAGGTAGGCAAGGGAGGTCACCAGAGGGAAAGAACTTTACCAAGGTGTTATTGCAGAAAAGAATTTCAGGACACTTCAAGGTAGAGACTGGCAAAGTTTATTAGTAAAGCAAAGGGAAGGACAGTACACATCCAGCTGTGGGTGTGGCATGGAAAGAGGCACATTTCAGTGTTCTAACATTATGGTTTAAGTTAGGAATAAAACAGAGCAAGGGTTTAAAGTAGCATTCCTTTAGCTATGTCCTCCTTTGTTCTAGGCACCTGGTATACCCCAGCCATTCCTGTTGTAGTGGTTTTCTGACATTATCAGCTCAGCTCAGAGACATTAAATCTGAGAAGATAGTTAATTTCAGGTCCTGGTAACACAGACTTCTGCTTCTTGTGACCTTGAATGATCACAGTTCAAATCCAGGGAGGGGAGTAAAACGGGCAGTTTTCTCGAAGATACCTTTAAAATAAAGATGCCTTCATGCTTGATCCCTACGCCACAAGGATCATCTGAAAAGTGGGCGAGGAGGCCATCTTTTTATCACTTGTTACTGCTCAGGGAAGGAACGTAAAGCCTAAAGAAAAGAAAATGTGTTTGTGCATTTCTAATCAAGCTATACATTAATTCAATATTTATTTCTGAGTTCCTGGTTTCTGCTTACAATGTCACATTTCCCTACTCTATTCTGCCTCACTTGGTGAGTCCAAAATCTTAACCCTTCCTTCCTAACCACAGTGAGACTGCCAGAAATGCCCGTTGACATTTTAAATTTTTTTATTTTGGGCTGCCCTGAGAGTTGAACTCAGGGCCTCGCATTTGCTAGGCAAGTGCTCTACTTCTTGAGCCATGCCCCAGCCCTCCCTGCTTCTTTTCAAAATCCTTCTTTATTTGAAGACTGTGTAGCAAGAAGCTAAGAGCATCTTGAGATTTATGAAGGGTTCTGACTGTAGTGTAGTGAACAGCTGAAGAGAATTACTAGAGATCTTCGGGTCGTTTAACAAGAATACGTAAGTATCTTATCAGTCTTTAAATTTCATGACTATTACTGCGTAAGTTTCCTTAGAGCCAAAAGGGGATCGATAATCAAATACTCTTAACTGAATTTAGGTCTGCACATTTATGTTTATTAGAAATAATGGAAAATGTTAGAATCCCATTGGCAAATTCTATACATGTCTTTTTATTTTGGTGGGCCTACGGTTTGAACTCAGGACTTTGCCCTTGCAAAGCAGGTACTTTACTGCTTTAGCCACATCAGCAGTCCATTTTGATCTGGTTGTATTGGAGATGGGGGCCTCTTGAACTATTTGCCCCCTGGCCTCCATTCTCCTGAGCTCAGCCTCCCAAGTAGCTAGGGTTCGAGGCATGAGCCACCAGTGCCTGGCTTAAATCTGTTAAAATGTGCATGGAAACCGTTGATTTCACAAAATGAAATAAATACGTAGAAAATTTCTGCTTCTGCCCATAAAGCATTAATAACCATGAGAATGGACCTTTCGCTGTAAATAACTTGAAACTTAGGTTACAAAAATAATTATGTCCAGACATTGTTTACCCAGTTGCCCAGAGATCCTCATTCCTGAGAGAAAGTAAGCCAGTTCAGTGAGCAGTCTTTTTGCTCATTCTGAGCTAAGTACGTAGGGGCGTTTTGCAGGTCAGAGAACAGGGATGGGGGAATCGCAGATCTTAGTGCTTTCACTGAATTTAGACCAGAGATTGGAGAGTCTGAAATGACTCGTGTTTGTGGGTTAGAACAGCAAATGGCAGAAATTGCAGAGAGATTGAGCGTTGAAGGTCTGCAAAGGGAATCTTGTGAATCATTGCTTAAAAGCAAATCTGTTCATAGAAATAATGAAACTATCTATGAGCTGGGGGAAAAGAACCATTGAAAAGAAAGCCAAATCACTGAAGGTCAAATATTTTGCTTCCCTCAGTAGAAGAAGGACTGGGAACATTTTGCTTTCCCACTGACTAAATGAAGAGGTCTTATAATAAGGAGCAACAGTTTATATCCTTAGATGGTTACTGTTTCAGTAGAGCTAAAGTAATTCTAAGGACCAAAGGGCTACACACAAAAAGGACTGAAAACAAGTCTCAAAAGGAACCCCAAGATAAACCCAAAAGAATGTGACTCAGGTTACTCCAGAGGCACCTGCACATCCATGGTTATTGCAGCACTATTCACAATAGCCAAGTTATGGAAACAGCCAAGATGCCCAACTACCGACGAATGGATTAAGAAAATGTGGTATTTATACACAATGGAATTTTATGCAGCCATGAAGAATGAAATGTTATCATTCCCTGGTAAATGGATGGAACTGGAGAAAATCATTCTGAATGAGGTTAGCCTGGCCCAAAAGACCAAAAATCGTATGTTCTCCCTCATATGCGGACATTAAATCAAGGGCAAACACAAGGGGATTGGACTTTGATCCCATGATAAAGCCAGAGCACACAAGGGAGGTATGAGGATAGAGTAAGACACCCAAAAAATTAGATAGCATTTGTTGCCCTCAACACAGAGAAACTAATGCAGATACTTAAAAGCAACTGAGGCCAACAGGAGAAGGGGACCAGGAACTAGAGGAAAGGTTAGTTCGAGAAGAATTAATTTAGAAGGTAACACACATGTATAGGAAAGCAATGCGAGTCAACTCCCTGTATAGCTGTCCTTATCTCAACTAGCAAGAACCCTTGGTCCTTCCTATTATTGCTTATACTGTTTCAACAAAATCAGAGATAAGGGCAAAATAGTTTCTGCCTGGTAGTGAGGGGTTGCGGGGAGTAAGGGGGGGCGGGGAAGGAGGAAAAATGACCCAAACATTGTATGTGCATATGAATAAAATAAAAATTAATTAATTTTTAAAAAAAGGAACCCCAAGTAATTCAGTTAAATTAACCATATGCCAAAAGAAAATCCAGCACCGAATGAGGGAATAATCATCCCATCACCCAACACACAAAGTTCATCCTGTCTGACACTTAAAAGAATTATCAGTCACGCAAAGTAGCAAACCATGTGACCCATTAACAAAAACAATGAACCAGTTTACCATTCATTCACATTCAACAGTCTAGAGGAAAATGTGAACACAGAGAAGTGGAAGACATTAACAGCCCAGTGAAAAATAAAATTAAAAGAATGTAGTTAATTGTTGATTTAACAAAATCAGTGAAATAGGAATGGAGACTATTGGAATTAAAGAGGAAAAATAGTAAGAAGGCAGTGAGCAGAGCACGAGAGACCTGTGGAACAGTGTCATACTGTCTAATATGCACATCTGGAGAATCACTAAGACGGGCAGAAAAACAATGTCTGTTACTCCATATTTGATTCCATACTAAACTCAAAGATATTTTTGAACATGTTAACAAACACCAAGAAGAAGCAAAACCACACAAAGCTGCATCCTATCTCATGTTTCAGATTGCTGAAAGTCTCTGAAGAGAAAACCTTAAAAAGCAGCCAGGGAGAAAAGACATCACGTAGAGTGAAAAGTAAGAATGGCAGCAGACTTCTCCCTAAGCTATGCAAACTGGAAAACAATTCTAAAATATTTAGATGGAGAGATATCTTTAAAGTATTGGAATATAAAGAAAACTGTCTGTTCAAAATCCTACACCCAGCAGTAATACCCTTGAAAAGTGTAGTGTCATTCTGGTGTGGTAATCTCAACCTGCAATCCCAGCACTCAGGAAGCTGAGGCAGGAGACTCATAAATTCCAGTCCAGCCTGGGTACATAGAAGAGAAGAAGGTGGGAGTGTGTGCCATTAGCAGACCTATATTATAAGGAATTTTAAAGAAAGTTCTTCAGGCCGTAGGGAAATAGTGTTAGATTATAGTATTAGTACTATTGGATCTATGTAAGGGAGCATAGACCTCCAGATACAGTAGATATGTGGGTAGAGTGTTTCTGTGTTTCTGTATAGTGTGTGTGTGTGTGTATATATATATATATATATATATATATATATATATACTTTTTCTATAGTGTTTCTGTTTATAAGCCATAAGCAATTTGAATTTTTGGGGGGAGGGGGGACTTGGTGGGATTAGAGTTTGAACTCAGAGCCTCATTCTTGCTAGGCTAGTCAATTATTACTGGATTTCCATGTACTTTGGGGTCATAGAAATGAGTTGTTATGCATGGAGTTTCTGAAGTATCTCCTCCCCATCCTCAACCACACAATTACTCAGCCTAAAACGTGTTACGAGATGCTACCTTAGAGGAATTCTCACCACTGATTGCATGCTCAAGCCTCATAATACATGTTTAGTTTATCTTTAATTTTTTTATCATTTTAGTAACGATGATGTTATGTTGATTTCTGTGGAGAGTCCTAATTTGGCAACTCCAGTTACATCAGATCCAACAGGTATCTTAAGCTGATTAGAATATGCTCTATCAAATTAAAGAATGAATTTTTTAATAAAGTAAAAAATTACCTACATTTAAAAATGTTCTCATTTATGTGTAATTAATAAAACCTAGATAAATAAATGACTAATAAACTAACATTTCTTTTTAACTTTGTGATTTATCAATTTTATGGCCTTTTGTTTCTTTACTGTTTGTCTAATTGTTTTGTAAGTTATAAAATCATCTGCGTGTATATTTTTAAATTATTTGCCCTGGCCTTCTGTTTTGGCGGCTTTTTGTTTTGCTGCTTTTTTAGGTTATTTTATCTATTAAGTTATTTTGAGAGGCTAACTCACTGTGTAGCCCACACTGTCCTCACACTCACTCTGTAACCTGGGCTGCCTTTGAACTTAAGATTCTTCTACCTCAGCCTCCTGATTTCTGGAATCATAAGCATGTACCACCATGTCTGGCTTTATGTTATCTTATCATCTACTTCAGATTTAAAGTTTGTTCTTTATTTTCTTTGATTTTTAAACTTTACATTTCCAGTGATACTTTTTCTCTTTTAAAACAGTCATATTGTTTGGTCCATAATTTCTGACCCAGAATTCCCTATTTTCATTTCATGTTTTACATATTAGGATATTTGCATCTTAATTTCACAACACTTGGCTCCCTTGTAATTGTTTCCACAGTTCGTACATCAGAGAGCTACAGATGAACAAAAGAGAGACATTGTACTGCTTCTTCAGCCTTTTCAGGCAGTCCATTTTAAGACTTACAGTGTGAATAAGGAAATGTGTTTTCTAGTTTTTTTTTTTCATTCAAATGCTAAAGTAATTTCTGGATTGACTTTCATAAAAAAGGTTCCTATATAGTTGTAAAATTACAGAGAGAAAAATACCTTTTAGCCCCAGATTAATTTCTCTTAACAGATTGTCAGTTTTAGGAATAAGTAAAGTCAGTTGAGGTACCCTTTATAATTATATAATTAACAGCTAAATAACATCCCCATTGTTATTTCAGCATTTATATATTACAATTCATAAATATTTAATACTTTAATAAATGTATCAGATTTATTTATACTGTAATATACTCATATTTTAATATATTGTTTCAGATACTAGAAAAACTACGTCAGGACATTCCAGCAGTTCATCTAGTGCTGTAATTGAGGTTAGGGTAGGTACCAGTTACTGTCTCTGAATATTCTTCGTTTAAATGTGTTAGTAGTGGGAACTTACTGTTGCATGTTGGATGGCTTGGTTTTGTCATTCATTCTTTGGCTAGGGTTATTAAATGGTGTTTGTTTCCTCCACTGAGCCCTCTCCTCACTACACTTCTCCGTGTGTGTGTGTGTGTGTGTGTGTGTGTGTGTGTGTGTGTGTTGGGGGGGATTGGGGGATTTGTGTGTGTGTGTGTGTGTTAGGGGGGATTGGGGGGTTGTGTGTGTCACACAAATTAATATTCACAACAACCAGGTTCCAGGCTAGCTTACACTAAAAAGCAGACAGCTAATAATCCATATATTTCCCATCCATACTCATTTACCAATTCATGTAGACTCTTTTTGTCATATTCTGAAACCATGCCTCATTTTATAAGAGCTTCTCTTTTATAGTAGCATTCAATTAAACCGTAAAAGATTTATTCCATCTCTAATTTCTAAATGTTAATTTAGTGCTGAGGGTATAGCTCAGTGATAGAGCACTCTCTAGCATGTACAAGGTCTCGGGTTCCATCCTCAGCACTGCAAAAAAAAAGGAAAGAATATAAAATTACCTGTTTCGTCTTTTAAAAACATTTTCTGCTGTTAAAGTAAAACCTTATTTCTTACACTAACCTGTCAGGCTGAAGAGAAGAGGAAACTTGATTTTGTTATTGATTTGACAAGAGAGGGCCTGTCCAACTGCAGCACAGGTAAAGGATCTTTAAATCTTGTTCTTACGAAAGAGGGAATGGTAGCACCTCAGAATGCACCTATGCACTGGTGAAGTCAAAGCATGTTGGTGTGCATGTCTTTTTAATTGCTTGCATTTTCATCTTGTATCATTTAACTGCCACCCCAAAACACAGAACTCTTCTGACCCCACAAGGCTTGCTCATGCTATCTCTTTATAACCACATTACCTTCAGCCTCCAGTCCCTAACCCCTGGCAACCATTGATCTATACTCACAGTAATTGCTATTTCACTGGTAAAGTGCTTTCTAGCAAATGCAAGGCCCTTAATACTGCTATTTTATATATATGTTTAAAATGTTACTTCACAAATGTGGTATAAATGAGATGAAGAAACATGCATTGTTCTGAGATTAGCTTCTTTCACTCCGTGTGATTTTGTTCAGGGTTGACCCATGTTGTTACATGTTGATAATGTGATCCTTTTTTATCACCAAGTAGTAGCTCATGGTATGGTTGTAACATAATTTGTTTTATCCATTCACCCTTCAAATGATAGATCTGTGTTATTTTCTCCCTGTGGTACACGTTTTTCCCTAACCATAACAGCAGTGGTGGCCAGGATGTACACATGAATGTAGGAGCATGTTATTTCAAGCATGATATGAAAATGTCAAGGGACAGTGATAGCAGTGCCCTCTTCTCTCATTTAAGCAAAAGAAATATAATCGTCTGAGGTGGGATTCTGGTCTCACCTACATTTAATAAGAAGCGTACCCCACATATCTAAGAGGTTCAGTAAACTCCAAGCAGGATCAACACCAAGGAAACTAGGACTGGGGTCATGGCCCAAATGGTAAGAATGCCTGCCTAGCAAGCATGAAGACCAGAGTTCAGCCCCCTGTATTGCAATAAAATAAAATTTCAAAAGAAAACCAATAAATTCCAAGACCCATCAACACTGAGAACGCCATACCAACACACATCAAAATCCATTTCATTTCCTAAAAACAGTGATAAAGATAAAAATGACACAATACAGATAGAAGAATGAAGACTTTCCAGATTTCTCAGCTAGAACAAAGACAAAAGACAATTGAGTGACATCATTAAAGCCTTAGAAAAAATAACTACCAACCTAGAATTCTTTATCTAGCAAATAATATCTTCAGAGATGCCACTAAAAATTCACACTGGTTGCAGTGGCCTGTGACTGCAGTCCTAGCTACTCATCTGTTACCTCAGCTACTGGGAGGCTAAGACCTTGAATTTGATGCCAGCCTGGAACACAGAATGCAGGAGTAGCTGTATTACTGGATACAATGACTAAGAACACTCAAATTCTCTTCACAAATGTATATGTATCTTTGAACACTTGGGAGGCTGAGGTATAGAGGAGGGCAAGTACCAGGCCAGTCTGGGTACATAGTGATACCGTGACTCAAAAGATATGAAAGAAAAATGATTACAATTAGAGATTCCAGTGATTACAATTAGAGATTCCAGGACTCCTTAGTAATTAATATATGTTGACAGAAAGTTATGTAGAAGCCTAAGCTATCAACCAGTTTAACTTGATATTCATTAAATGATAATCAACCCAGATTAGAATCCACGTTTTCTTAACTGCATGAAAAATGCAGTTAGAAATCGGGTTCTAGACTGTAAATGTTTTCAGCATATGTAAAAGGATTATAATCATACAGACTTTGTCTTTGACACAATTAGCAATATACAACAGAAATCTAGCTGAGGAATCTCTAAATATTTGGAATATAAGCTCACTTCTAAATAACTCGAGTCACAGAAATCAGAAGAATTAGAAAATATTTTGAACTGAAGGGAAATACAGCATACCAAAATTTATGGAATGCAGCTAACGGTTGTTGAGAGGTGAAATTACCCTGGATTACATGTTTATATTAGAAAAAATAGAAGGTTTAAAATGAACTATCTAGAATGCTGGAGGTATGGCTTAAGTGGTAGAGTACCTGCCTAGCAAGCACTAGAGCCCTGAGTTCAAACCCCAGGACTGCAAAAAAAAAAAAAAAAAAAAGTAAAGCTTTTGCCATAACATGCTGGGAAAAAAAGCGAATGACACTCAAAACAAGAAGGTGACACTTAAGTAAAGATATAAGGATGGCAAGTATAAGCTCAAGAAGATGTCCTGAACATCATTGTCATTAGGGAAACTAAAACCGTAAGGAGCAGATACCACACATCCAATAGAATGACCAGAATTACAACTGAAAATATGTGTTGGTGAGAATGTGGAACAGCTGGGGATTCTTACACATTGAAAGTCAGAATGTAAAGTGGGAAAACTACTTAAGAAGTGGTTTGGTGGTTTCGTAAAACATTAACTATACTCTTATTATATGGCTATTAATCCATTCTTTTACGTATTTACTCAGGAGAAATAAAAACATATCCACACAGATTTTTTTTTTCTTTTTGAGAGTGGGTAAGTTACCCAGGATGGCCTAGAACTTTTAATCCTCAGTCAGTGCCGTGTGCCACCACCAATGACCACACCAAGACTTTGACACAGTGATCATAGCAGCTTTGTTATAACAGCCCAGAGCTGGAATATTCAAACAGAAGATAAAATGTTGACTTATACAACCAGTGTATAAATATCAAAAACATGCTGAGCAAAAGAATCCTGCATGCTATGATTCTGTTCATATGAAATTCTAGAAAAAGGAAATGTAATTGTGTGTGTGTAGGAGGGTGTTTATGTATGCATGTGTGTGTGCTGAGTGTTGAACCCATGGCTACACATGCATGGCAAGTGCCTAACACTGAGATACATTCCCAGCCCTTATCATAATCCTTAGTGACAACACACCAGTGGTTTCCTGGTGTCACAGAGGTAAGAGGGGGGTTGACTAAGAGATACTAAGGAATTTTTGGGCAGAGTTTAGCAATGCATGTCTATAATCCCAGCTACTCAGAAGATGGAAATGGGAAGATCACAGTTTGAGCACAGTCCAGGCTAAAGTCAGTGGGACCTTATATCAAAAACAAACCAGGTTTGGTGGTGTACATCTGTAATCCCAGCAGAGGCAGAGGTAGGAGGATCTCTTTTTGGCCCCACCCAAGAAAAAGCACAGTACCCTATCTGAAAAACAAACTAGTCCTGGACAAAAAATGCTCATATATCCCATCTCAATCAATTAAAGCTGAGTATAAATAGGAAAGTCACAGCCCAAGTCTGCCCAGACATAAATGTGAGGCCCTATTTGAAAAATAACTAAAGCAAAACAACTGGGAGCATGACTCAAGTAATAAAACCATTTCTTCTAAAAATGTTCTTTAATATCAGAATCAGTTACTAATAAGTGAATACAGTACAGAATCTTGGTAATCACAAAGCAAAGGAAAAATACAAATAAATAATTTAGAATTATCAGGTGTATTAAATAGTTACATCATGAACACACAGCACTGCTTGTACATGTTTTAAGTCTCTGGAACTTTACCTGTCCCTGACACCTTCCAACTGTGCTCTGCCCAGTTGTCTCCACACCATTCTCTCAACTACTCTACCTTCTTTGTCTTCCCTTTCTCCCTTTTCCCACAGTCCACAACTTACACTTAATTCCCTTCCAGTGAACACAACCTCAAAAGAGATTTCTCTAATCCTAGCCTGTGGGGTTTTTAGTTTCCCATATGGTCTCAGGGAGGTATGAATGGCTCCGTGATTGCAGGAAGCCTTTTTGGTCTAACAGAAGAGACTCTACCTTTTCCTTACTGAGCACAGACCCCTGTCCATTTATCTAATACCCAGTTGCATAATGGCTGAAAGGTTTATGTGAAGAGGGAATTTCAGTTGGGCATAAGTGGCTCACGCTTCTAATCGTAGCTACTCAGGAGGCAGAGATCAGGAGGATTGTGTTGTGAGGCCAAGCCAGGCAGAAAGTTTATAAGACATCGTCTTAACAAAAAGTATAGGCATGGTGGCGTATTCGTATCATCTTCTCTGTTGCAGGAAGCGTAAATAGAAGGATTATGGTCCAAGCCAAACCACATAAAAAACAAGACCCTATCTTAAAAATAACCAGAGCAAAAAAGGGCTGAGGCATGGCTGAAGTGGTAGAGTGTTTGCCTAGCAAGTGCCCTGACTTAAAACCCTAGCACTGCCACAAAAGGGGGAGGGGATACTTAATCAGTTAAAGGAAAATTCTCGATATTTTGTACTGTCTTAAACTTTTATCAAAAGTTTATTTTCTTATTTTACAGTTTTAATGTTAATTGATATTTACCAGTCATGATGTAAACTCTGCTTACTGGTTATGGATATTATTGCTCACAGTACTGGGGATCAAACACAGGGACTCATAGGTGGTAGGCAGGTTCTCTACCACTAAATTTTACTTTTTTTTTTTTTTTTTTTTTTTTTTGGTGGGATTGAGGTTTGTACTCAGGGCTTCACTCTTGCAAAGCAGACACTTTATTGCTTGAGCCACATCTCCAGCCTCAATTTTACTTCTTAAATCTTGTGTTGTTCACAGAAAGTCCAGCATTCACCATGGAGTCACCTTCCAGTGATGTTTTAAACTCAAAAGAAATAACCCCAGTGGCAGAAAATGGATCCGAGGTACTAATGAGAAGTGCTGTGTAAGGGACATTCACTCCAAATTGAGTGGGAACTACCTGTTTTACTCTTGAAGGATGATGTGGGTCACATTTCAGCTTAGAACATGTCTTGATGGCTTTTTTAAATGTGCTATAATTAAAATCAGCTAAGTTTTCCAGAAGCTTAGTCATCTAAAAAATAAATTTTTTTAATCCAACAAATTAAGAAAGAATTTTAAGTAATAACAGTTATTGATGAGGGTAGAGAGAAAGGGTATTCAAACACTGACACTTTTCTTGTAAATTAGTACAGTGTTGGAGAACACAGATTGGAGTGAATGGCCTAGCTATCCACAATGTCTGAGACCAGCTGCTCTGGGTTGGTGATGACCCAGTCTTAATGCTCAAAACTACTGAATCCAGCCTCATATGTTTTTGAAGTAGTTTTTTTGTTAATTTAATCAAAGGATTGAAGAATGGGAAATACATATTTGCAACAACTGTAATTGACTACCAAACGACCTTGCTAAACTTTTTTTCAATGTGTTTGTAGGATTTTGAGTCCTTAGATCACCTGCCACCTCTCCCAGAACCACCACCACCACTCCCTGACCTGGTGGACAAAATCCGAGACATGCTTCCTCCGCAGAAGCCTGAGCTGAAAGTGAAGCGGGTCCTCAAACCCTTGGGCATCGCCCTGACTTGGAACATCACCAAGATTAACCCTAAGTGTGCTCCTGTGGAAAGCTACCACCTCTTCCTGTGCCATGAGAGCCCCAGGAATAAGCTGGTTTGGAAGAAAATTGGAGAAATTAAAGCGTTACCACTCCCAATGGCCTGTACTTTATCTCAATTTTTGACTTGCAACAAATATTATTTTACTGTGCAGTCAAAAGACATTTTTGGGCGATATGGACCATTTTGTGATATAAAATCTATTTCTGGGTTTTCTGAGAACCTTACCTAAAAGTCTTACTGTTTACAATGTAATTCTAACACTATTCACCATTTCCCAGGGCCAGTTCAGATTGTGAACCTTTTGTGTGGAGACAGTCCTCTTCCCTGTGTTGTAAGTGGCTTGTAGTTTCATGAATTTCTAACTTACCTTCAGTGTGTTCTTCAGTGTATGTGTTCTCAGACTTACACCATCATGGACCATGTTGTCATGGTGTTTTTTAATTCTCTTGGTGACTCTGGAATTCCTTATGTCAGTCCTGGGATACAAGCAGTCACCTTTTCCTCTTAACAGTTTTTGGTGACCTGCAGGTGGTCTGTTTTGTTTGAGGCTTTTCGTTTGTTTTTTTTGTTTGTTTGTTTGGTTTGATTTTGTTTTTAGAAAAATCAGCCTTTTCCTGAGGCCAGATCACTCCTGTGGTGCATCTCCACCAAGATTTGTGCAAGTAAATGTCTTCCTGTTCTGTTTGAATTCTAAGTGAGCTGTTGATTTGCACCTGTCCTCTTTATTTTATTTTATTTTATTTACCTTTGCCTACATCAGTCATTTGGAGAAATAGTCTGGGGGTTTTGCCTAAGGCTGTTTGTATAATTATATATAAAATTTGTTAAACATTGTGTGCTATGTACACAAAAACCTAGATTTTCTCATGAAATTGTGTAACCTGTTTGGTTGTGGAGTTTCCTGCCTTAGATTTAAGGTTTAATTTGCAGATTCCCTGCAAATTAAATTTCCTGGCTACCAGCAGTACTCAGAGAACATAACACTCAGAGATTCTAGACGGGTCTTATGCATGCATACCTCTCCCCTAAGTAATACTGAAGTGAAGCACAAGCAGCCCAAGAAATGTGAGATGTGTAAGGTTCCAAGGCATAGCAAATAACTAGGATATTGAGAAACAACAATAAATACTGTCTGAAAGAGGGCATTCTTTCTAGGTACATAGTGAGAATTCCGATTCAAATGGAATGGTTTTCCTTGGCATTTTGTGAATGCCTTTATATCTTCACTCATAATAAAGCTGTTATTTTTGTCAGTCTCCTGTGTCTTTACAAAGCATGACTTAAAAAACCAGGTTTGGAACTGTATCTGGTTGAAGTGACTTGCCCACTCAGGTCCCATTTCAGGCTCACTGGTGGAAGGTACCCTGCAGCACAGAACAAGGATCCACTCTGGGTGAGGAGTATACCCTTCAGTGCATGTAAGATGATACTGTAACAAGGTTCTGGTGCCCATCATCAGTGTGAAACCACATCCCCAACCAACAGGCCCTCTGGAAAAATTATGGTGTGAGACTCAGACAAAAGAGCTGGTTACAGAGGAAGGCTAAGAGCAGACATCTATGGCGGCAGCTCAGACAGCATAAGTGTTTCTTTGGAGGTGCAGGGTAAGATTCTCACCTGTTAATGTTTCAGTGATACCAGAAGTCCAGCCCAAGAACAAGAAAATCCTGCCAACAGCAGAGAGGACTAATGTCCACCTGATGAAACATCACCTGAGTTTTTAGTTCACTGAGATGCCTTTATGCCTCCATTAAGCAAAAATCAAAATGACTGATGAACAAACACTGAACTCATTCATGGAATCCCCAGGAAGCCCAGAGACAGGCTTGGGAACTAGGAGGGAGGAAAGCCTGTTTTGCAGCAACCCCAAGAAGGTTCAGATTTGCAGAGGCTTATGCAGTTCAGATTCTGCCATGTGATGTAAAGGTACATAAGGTGTCTTTCGCCCATTTTGAAGATGAGGAAACAGGCCCAGAATACTAAGTGCTTGCCCAAGATCACAGACAAAATCAGTAAGTGGAGCCAGAATTCAAATTTGACTTCCTGGTTCTTGAGTTCACACTATGTCCACCATACGCTTCTGCATGGATGCAACAGAAGAATTTATGTCATCCTTACTTTTTGGGGCTCCATACTGGAATCCAAAAATCACAAGGTGAAGTAGGGAAGCAAACCTGGCATTTTTGTCTTCAAAAATTACATTATTGTCATAAACTGTAGTCACTGTACTATGCCAAGAACACTGGTTTATTACCTGCCAAACGGCTCCCTTTATTACTTGGTGATGATTAATCCAGTTGTCTACTTGATTGGATTGAGAAGCACCTAGGGGATTAGCGAAGCTCTCTTCCTTGTGTCTGTAAGGGTGTTTCCAGATTAGACCACAAGGGCTTTGATGTGATGAATGGCTTAATCCATGGATGGATTCAAAATTTGAGTGGACTATTGGAAGGAGGTGAAACAGGAAGGTGGGACCTGGCTGGAAGTGGTTCACTGAAGGGGTGTCCTTGAGGGGCATATTTTGCCCTGACCCCTTCGTCGCTGTCTGCTTCCTGGCTATAAAGAGGTGAAGAAGCTCCTCTACCACACTTCTGCCCAAGTTTATGGGCATAATGACCTGGTTCTTGGAGAGAAATATTGGTCCTCAACCCTGTCACATGCCAGAATCCTCTGGGAAGCGATTAAAACACAGAAATATCTGGACTTTTTTTTTTTCCAATCTCTGTAGTGGGAGCCATTCATGGGTCTCTTTTTTTCTCTTGCCACATTCGTATAAAATAGTCTCAGCTTCAGTAATAATCCAAGAGCATATTTTAAGTATTTGAACATTCCAAGGGTTCAAATAATTGGTTTAAGAAGAGCCAAATAAAGTTAGTTTCTTTCATAACTCATTTGGGATGGTCAAAAATTAAGAATTCTTTACTTTTGATCTGGCCTGTTTGTGTTGTTTGCCCAAAACTTAACAAAATACAGATTGTTTTTAGAAGGCTCACTTGATTGCAAGGAAGTTTGTTGGGAGGACTATTTACAGGAGAGCTACTGGCTGACACAGAAAGCAAAGAATACCTGGTCCCAGCAGAGGGAGAAGAATCTCGAGTTTGAGGCCATCTGAGCTACATAATGAGACCTTGTCTCAAGAAACGAAGGGCAGGGGTACAGCTCAGTGACGGAGCATTTGCCTAGCCTACATGAGGCCCTCCTTCCATCCCCAGCACTGCAAAATATAAATAAAAATAATCTTGGTAGTTTCTAGGATGCTCCCTTAGAACTTCAGAGCAGCAGTCTGAGGGGACTTCAAAAAGTTTGGGTTCTTTGTTGGTTTTCTCCCACATGCCTACCTTGAGATTGACATTCCATCAAGATTATGTGAAATGTGGAAGTTCCCCTCAATGAATGAAGGATCCTGCTACCCAGAAGTGAGATAAGATGCCAGGCAGATAAAAAAAAAAAAAAAATACCAGGTGTGCATTACATAAATACTCAGGATATGTTATTGCTACACCAAGACCCAGCTGGATATTCTGCCTGTTAAGCCTGCCAAGGCTAGTGCAAGGCTGAATTGGTATCCCCTGCCCTTACTTGGGAACTTGGATCAGAAGCTGGGCCCATCAACTTATGCTTCAAGTCCTCCAGTATGACCCGTTGCTGACTGTGGATTCTTGGCCACCCTCTAGTGGTCATGATGATGGGATGCACCTCTCAGACTACCAGATTCCTAGGGATGATAAAAGACTCCACCCAAGACACGGTTTGGTTGCCTAGATAGGAACTGAAAAATCTAAATAACCAGCAAAAAGTTACAAAGTGCGTGATTCTCTGCCAGCAAAGGAAGAAAAATCCTACAATAGAGACAAAAAGTTTTTTCTGAGATGTGTTAGCATTTATCTGCATCCCATGTAGTAGGTTAAATGGTGCCTGCCCCTGGAAGATATGGTCACATGCCTTTATTTAGAAAAGAGTCTTTTTAGATGTAAATAAGGCTCTCAAGATCATCTTGGATGCACCCTAAAATGAATGACACATATCTTAAAAGACACATGGAGACGAGACAGTGAGGAGGAGGCTGTAATGTGAAGACAGAGGCAGAGTTTGGAGTGGTACAAGCCAAGGGATGCCTGGATCTACCAGGGTTTGGAAGAGGCTCCATAAGGGCCTTTGGAAGAATGTGGTTCTATTGAGTTGGCTTTTAACTTCTGGCTTCCAGAACCGTGGGGAAGTTAATTGCCATTGTTTTAAGGTACCACGTGTGTGGTCCTTTGTTACTGCAGCCTTAGGAAACTGATACAGTCCATTTCCATGGGGAACATGACTTGTTTAGTACAATGACACCAGGTCCTTACCCTGTGGAGATTGGTCCCCCTAGATACGCTTACATTCTCACATGTGCTGGGAGGCATTTAACTCACCAATAGGGAAGATGAATTAGAATATGTCACCTCAAAATATGCCACTTTGGCACAAGGATTATTTTGAGCTGAAGACCATTGAGAGTTTTCTGTACACCCTTTTTCTGCCTGAAAGCAAGGCAGAGTTTCCCTTTTAAAGGTATACCCCTCTCATACCAGGGTAATCAGAGATGGCAAAGATGATTACAAAGCCTTACCAAACAATCCTTACCCACCATTTCCTAGTCACCTTCCCAAAATTTACCACTACAGAAGGCCAAATCCCCTTTCTTCTGTCTCTCCACAATATATCGCCCTTCATTTAGAGAGTATATAATTGTTGCAGCAATATTCACAATAGTTAAGCTATGGAGACAGCCAAGATGCCCCACTACTGATGAGTTAAGAAAATGTGATATTAATATGCAATGGAATTTTATTCAGTCACAAAGAAGAATGAAATTTTGTTGTTTGTAGTTAAGTGGATAGATCTGGAGAGCATCATCTTAAGTGAAGTTAGTCAGACTCAGAAGGCCAAAAGTTGCACATTTTCTCATATCTGGATATAGACCTAATACAAATACATCAATATGAAAAATAGGTCATGCCAAGGATAGGTCATATAATGAGAGAAGGAGGGTAAAAGAAGGAAGTTAAGTTGATACACTCTATGAATATAGAATTTTCCAACCTGTTGAAATCACCATAAGAAGGGAACTGAGGTAAAGGAGAAAAATAGAGGGAATGAACCAATTCAAGTTTTTATGTGTGTGTATGTCACAAGGAAACTCCCTATATAGCTATCTTAAATGTCTTTTTTTTTTCAAAAATGGAGAATAGAAATGTAAAACAGGTCCTGTCTGGGAGGTTGGTACCAGTGGAAAGGGAAAGGATTAAGGAAAGTGTGTAGGAAAATGATAGGAATATTATGTACTCATGTATGAAAATAGAAACATGAGGCCGCTGAAACTATTCCAGGAAGCGGGTTTGTGGGGAGCAGATTTTGAGAAGCGTACATAAGCACAGTTGTGCTCAGTGACAGGCTGAGTTTGGCATGGCCCAGCCACAGAAGAGCGTGAGAAGGCAAGATGCAGCACAGCTGCTTTTCCTAAGTTTACATTCACAGAAGTAGGAACAGAGGTTTCTCTTACTACAATGTCACGCCCCCTCCCCTAGAACTGCTGCTCCACCTCCTTGTTTACCACTGGCTATAAAAGACTCCCTGAAGGAGGATGTGAGGCTTTTTGATGGGGGATTTTGATCGGCTGGCTGCTGTCTCCACCAGAGCAGGTTTCTGCACCGAGAAGTTTATACGTAGGCTTTAGAAAAGCTAAGCTAAAGAAAAGCTGAAGAGAACATGGGACAGTGCAAGTCTAAGGACTGAGACTTTAAGAGTTATGCATATGCAGTTTTTAGAGAATTATGCATATGCAATTTTTAGATGTGGCTGCTGTTGTCTGTCTGCAAGTCTGAGGTCAAAGCCTTTAAATAAAGATTATGCTGAAGAATAGCTCAGAGAAAACGGGACAGAGTGAGTCTAAGGAAAGAGACTTAAAGAATAGAAAAGACGTTACAGCAAGATTTTAAAGAATTGTAAATGGTAAAAGGCCTTAAAGAATAGAGAAGAGAATAACAGAGAAAAGAAGTGATGTAAAAGAAGAGCTATTAGAGAAAAGCAGCAACAAGGCTGTTGTACATCTCCAGCACACCTGGTCCAGCTTTATGCATGTCTTTCTATTGTCCTTTCTGCATCTCCCGTCAGCCCCCATTAGGTTCAGTAGTAACAGAAGCAAGAGAAAGCTCACTCCAGGGAGTAGGGGGCTAAAAGGGTGAATTCAAGTATGATACATTGTAAGAACTTTTATAAATGTCACAGTGTATCCCCAATATAGTAATAAATAAAAAGGGTGTTTGAGCCCCCAAGCCTACTTCTTTGGGTCTTCACTTCTTTTATATGAGTTGGGATAAAGGGTGGTGTCCCGTGTGCATCAAGACACACAGGCAAAGTGGAGACAGGAACTCCAGTGGATGGTAGGAGACCTTAATGGGTTAGCTATGTAGATGGTGAAAAAGACTAGAATTAGTTGAAACTCAAACTGTCACGGATCAAAAAGTGACAGTGATCCAACAGTATAGACAATGAAAAAAACTATAGACCAGGGAGTGTGACCTGAGTTCTAGGCCAGAGGTCTAGCTTCACAACTTCCACATACTAAGTTCACCCACTAGCCCCAAATACACTGACTAAAGAGACAAGGAGTGTTGAAGTGTGGAGAAAGATTTATTATATGGCCCTAGCACACCACAGGAACAGGCAAAGTAAGCACTGCAGCTCATCTTCAGTTTTAACTGGAGAAGAAATTGGGGTTTTTTTATAGGTTGTTGGGGGTTTTTTATAGAGTGACCATCAGATTTTTTTTCAAAGGATTTTTTTTCTTTTTTCTTTTGACAGGACTGGGGCTTGAACTCATGGCTTTGCACTTCCTAGACGGACACTCACCACTTGAGCCACACTTCCAGGCCTCAAAGGGCTTTCTGATGGAATAGAATGCCATATTAAACATAATTCACAAACACAAAACAAAGACAGCAGAAACAAACTAATCGGGATTTCTTTTCCTTTTCACTTGAGTCCCAGAAGCCTAAGGCAGTGGAACCAATTCAAGGGCTCTTTCAAACTAGGGGCTTTTGCTCTGAGCTTGCTAATAGGGTGGCATCTACACGAGACTTTTCGCTTGATCCCACAAGAAAAAGGAAAAGGCAGGACAGAGGCCAGTGGGAGATAGTCCCCTACAAGAATGGGTGTTTCTGATAGCCTGGAGAGTTTTTGTAATTGACAGCAAAATAAGACAAAATAAGACAAACGAACTATCTGGGTGTTAACCAACAACACACACTTTCTCTCTCTCTCTCTCTCTCTCTCTCTCTCTCTCTCTCTCTCTCTCTCTCTCTCTCTCTCTCTCTCTCTCTCCCTCCTCTCTTCTCTCTTCTCTCTCTTGAGCAATCAAGCCATTCTGGGTGAAGGTTTTCCTTGAGGCAGAGGGCTGAATGGCAGTCTGTCTAGGAAGTCAGAGCACTGCAGGCCCAGAGGGGAAGGTTTCCAAGGAAGAAAACAAGAAGAGGGGTTTGTTCTTGCAGAAACATCTCAGAGTCAGAAGAGGACCCACTGGACCTTTGTGGAATTTTAAACATAGAGAAGGTCTCCCTAAAACCAGGTCATGAGTCACTTTTTGGACTAGTGACAAACCAGTGCTGTAAGGTGGATGGTGTGCTAGAAGGAGGGAGACGAAAGGTCAAGGACTGTACAGGGTAGAAGAGAAGAGGGATCACCCAGGATGTCCTGAGAATTTAGAGACCCTGGGAGATGGACCAGGCACATCTGGTATCCCTTCTGCAGGGCTGGACAAAGGGACACGAGAGAACCTCAGACCACTTGGATGTCAAGTCAGAGGATGGTGCCATTTAGAAGCCGGACTTCCTGGTCTGGCATCCTGTAGACCCACCAGGCCTCATTGTAGAGAAAGATCAGGCGTTTCTTTTTAAGAGTCTGAAGATCAAATTCTTCCCGGTGCCAAAGAACGCAACCCAGAGTGCGTCCAAGGGGATTGAGGTGGTTAAGATGTCTGTAAGAGACCAAGAAGCCACCTCTAAAATTAGAGGGCACTTCGGTCACCCACAAGGGACCAGCAGCAGCAGGGTGGGGGGTGTCTAGTGATCTTAAGCCTCGTCAGGGTGTCCCACCAGAAAGTACAGCCCCTGAGTCATCCACAAGGGATCCAAGGGGTGAATTCTGACAGGGGTCTCCCATCTAGCCAAAGGAGCTCTGAAAAGCAAGTGCCATTCTCAGAAAAGAAGGGACTTCAAAGCCTGAGTGCAGCCCTCAGAAATGAGGGCTCGGTGTCAGGGTGGTCAGTCCTGACTGGAGAAAAATAACGGAGAGAGGGGACTTACCATGGTACTGGACCCTCCTCCAAAGGGCTGAGATGGCACCTCCAAGGAAAGTCAAAGAATTTGAAAGTAGAAGTCGGGACAGAGGAAAGGAGTCACCCACAGTGGTCCTGATGTGAAAAAGGAATGATAAAGTCCCCGCACAGGCCACCAAAATGTGAGTTTCGGAGCCAAGATTGGTAAAAGAAGCTACGGAGGAGAGAGAACAGGAGAAGCGAAGGTTTGAAGGTGGTGGGCAGCTGAGCAGTCAGGGAATGTGGCTGTGAGGGGGAATAAATGGCAGAAGTGACCCTGGGAATGTAAGGGGACAGATGGCAGAAGCAACCTTGTCTTAGATAAGGGAAACAGAGGCACTCTTGAAAGCAAACATCTAGGGAGCCATGAGGAGTGGTTTCTCACCCAGATAATAAAGCACAGCGCTCTTTCTCCTAGATAAGGGAGACAGAGAAGCTTCTTTAAAGACAGACGTCTAAAGACATGAAAAAAATAGACCTCTTAAGGAAAACAGCACAGCAAACTTTCCCAAGATAGCAAACGGGGGGGGCGCGGGGGGGGGGTGGCGGAGGTGGAGCGGGGGGAGGGTCTCACCAAAATAATATAAGTAAATAAAAAGAGCTGGGCGTGTTGAGCGCAGCTGTCATCCCAGCATCTTGGGCTGGTGAGTGGCTCGAGTGGTAGTGCCGGCCTAGCAAAATAGTGAGCGGTAGTCATAAATGTTCATGACAGGTCCCAAGGACAGGATGGACTAATGAGACCCTCTTGGAGTGTCCAGTCTGATAAGGATGAGGGGAGGGCAGCCAGATGGTTGGGTGCAGCAAGAAGTTAATTAGACAGCCAATTACAGATGCAACTTCAAAGTGGAGTGGGAGCCTAAGTCAGGCAGAGCCCTATATTACCCCTTAGACGTCAGCCATTGTTTGGCTTAGCTCTTTCACTGAGTCCCACCCGTCAGGATGCTTTGCAATCTCTTCATGCTTTACTCTTAACTCCTGGTCCAGGGCCTTCAATCATCGACTTCACCAAGATACAACTCGGGAACAGCACTCCAGTATCGTGTGCATGGCTGCACGCATCACGTGGGATTTCATTGACTAGTTGTTTCTTCTTTGGCCATGATTTGAATCTCATCAAAATTTGCACAGGAAGGACTAAAGGACAGACTGCAGGAGGTCCCAAAAGGTGATAAGTGATCAAGGAGACACCTCTCCTTCCCAGGAAACCTCTGTTGCACCTGAGAGACATCTCTGCCCCCAGGCAACACATAAAATGTATAAAACCCAATCCCCACCCTGACCCACAGGATCACCGGTTTCTGGGTCCCCCTGCATTCTCCACTACGCAGTCTTTCTCTTCTCTTCTCTACAAATAAAATCTTTCCGACCTCTGCTGTTGGAGTCCTGTGATTTCATCCTCAGGGCAGGCTCAAGAACCCCGAGCACCTGAAATTCCTGCGCGTGTCATCCATGATCACACCCATGGGAATATT